GAGAGAGAGAGAGAGTGAGAGAGTTTGTCTTGGTGTGGTACTACAGGATAATGTACTGGACCGCAAAGTCAGTTTGAACCACAAGGTCAGACGTTCAAAACCACCAGCTGCTCCTCAAAAACCATGCATTTGTTTTTCTTGTTAAGTGCCATCGATGGTGTTTTGAGTAATAGCAACCTTGCATAGGGTTTCCTAATTTGCCTTGTATCTAAAATTATACCAGAATATCTTAAGGGGAAAAATATGGATAGACAGGAACAGGAATGATTTGTTAAAAGTGCCAATAACTATGCAGGTATCCAGTGTGCCTGTCTCCTGAGAGTTCACTGGATGAAGATCAGCTTTTTTATTATTAAAAACTAAAATTGTAGACCTGGAAAAAATTTTTAAAAATCATTTTTTCTCACCTGTTGCATTTCTTGTATGTGTTCTAAGCCTTCAATCCGTTATCATAATCTTATAAAATCTCCTGGAATTATAACTAACTTTGGTGGGATGTAACTGAGACCTGGATTAAAGTATGAAACCAATTTTCTTGTCATTAGTAGTGGTGTGCTGTGGAGTTGGCTCTGACTCATAGTGACCCTGCATAGGGTTTTCTAGACTGTAAACCTTTACAAGCAAAAAGCCTCATCTTTTTCCCACACAAGAGCTGGTAGCTTCAAACTGTTGACCTTGAGGTTAGTGGCCTGACTCATAACCACTATGCTTTGCTAAAAGGAAGCATCAGTTAAGATAACAGAAGGGATGCTGAGAGGCTCTGAAATCGTGTGATTGTAAATTATGATTGAATAAGTATAGCTATCTGCATGGTACTACCTGGTACTTTGGAGTATTTAATTTTCCTCATGTGAATGAATATGTTCTACTACTAAAGCAGGTAACGCATTCTAGCACACTGTATGAATAAACTCTATGGTAATGCTTTCTTTCATTTATAAGCAATTCCAGTGGGTTTATAAATGAACATCATTCCATGACTGAGAAAGTGCATGACACCCAGAAAGTGAAAATTATTACAAGCTATAGCACTGACTACTTCAATTATTTAAGGCCAATGAACTTCACAAATCAGAATCCCTCTCTAAATCATATTATATCAATGCCGGGGCACCTTCATATTCATTTTCACTTTTGGAAGCAATGTTAGTAATTTTTCAAATTGATTTTTTGAATTCTGAAATTAATAATAATAATAATAATAAAGAAAATTTTAAATGATACTCTACTAGTGTAAAGTGACAAACAAAATTTAAAATACCTTTTAAACTGGTAACATTTAAAAGCAGTAAATAATTGACAGCAATGATAATATTTCAAAAGACAATAAAGTGTACATAATTCTTCTTTTTAAAATTTTGTTTGAAGCCATATAAACCACAAAAGGTATTATCTATTAAAAAATATAAACCTTTCAGATGACTGCCCCCTTCATTTTCAAATAAAGTTAATGATAGAGACTTCACAGGTTCCAGGTATTTTACTATAATAATAAAACAATGAAATTGTGTATTTTTATTATGAGGTCACTTACCAATTTAAACAAATATTAGTCTTCTGGTTCACTCATTTTTGTCATCTTAAATCACTCACCTCTAACTGTGAGGGTAGCAGAGGCTTCGACTTTTCCAACCCGATTCTCAGCGATACACATATATGTACCTTCATCTGAACTCAGGGCCTTTTTAATTCTCAGTGTGTAATCGTCTTTGATGTCATATCTGTATAGGATATAATTGATTTATTAAATATTGTTGGTGATATTTACATGGTAATACTAACTATTCATCTTCATTTGTCTATATTGACACTATTCTTTAAAGCAAAACATACAATCACATGCGTCACATGTAAAATCTTCAGCCATAAACTGCAGTTGCATAGCAACTGCTATGTTCACTTAGATATAAAGGTATTTTTAAGGAGCTTATCAATTTCAAATATCATCTCTAAATAATGTTTCCTTGTTTATTTTTACATATATAATGTTCATCATTTCAAAACTATCAAAGGCATTGTTAACACTTGTTTTTCTTTGATAGTTCTTAACAAGCTCTGGTAGCGTAGTGGTTACGAATCGGGCCGCGAACCTTAAGGTCAGTGGTTCGAAACTACCAGCTGCACCGCGGGAGAAAGATGAGGCTTTCTACTCCCGTAAAGATTTACACCCTCGGAAACCCTATACAGGGTCGCTATGGGTCGGAACCGACTCAAAGGCACATAACAACAACAACAACAACAACAAGGAAACCAGTACACATTATAGTTTCTTAGTGAGTTGTATTCCATTACTTTGTAAGCACACTGAGTTAAATAAAATGATTTTGTTACCATTTGAATATAACAACTAACATATACTTGCATTAAAGGAGAAAATCTTTGGTTAAATTAATTAAAAGGGAATAATGATTTCTTTTTCTTTTCTTTTTTTTTAATTAACTATAACAACTCTAGAATCAACACCATGCCTTTGAGTGATTATGGCCATGTATGAACTCACCTCTCTGGTATGCATGTATATTTTTTCACTTCCATTTTAATATTAATAGTTCATTGATTAGATAAGAAAAATCCCTACAATTTTAATAAGAATATATATAAAAGGAGCTCTGGTAGCGTAGTGGTTACGAATCGGGCTGTGAACCTTAAGGTCAGCGGTTCGAAACTACCATCTGTTCCGCAGGAGAAAGATGAGGCTTTCTACTCCTGTAAAGATTTACACACTCGGAAACCCTGTACAGGGTCGCTATGGGTTGCAACCGACTCGACGGCAGTTAACAACAATTGGATTATTAAAATAACATAATTATGCAAACAAAATAATGAAGGTATTTTCTTTTCAATCTTTTTGTAGCTGATCTTTCCTCTTGATTTTCAGTGCTACCTAACTCCTGTCCTTATTAAAAATACAATCTTTTTATGAAATCCTCTGATTGTTTACCTCTTCTTCTTACATGAAAAAACTAGGTAAGCATTCCCCAAATATTACTTTAAATAATTGACTCTAAATGTTCAAAGGAGTCCTAGTGTGGTGCTATAGGATAATCACTTGACCACAAGGTCAGTTTGAACTGCAAGCTCGGCATTTCAAATCCAGCAGCCACTCCTCAGAAAGCCTATACAGGGTCACTATAAGTCATAATCAACTCGGTGACACTAAATAACAATAACAACATGCTTGAAACTTAGCTGTGATCTATTGTTTTCAGGACACAAACAATTTTTTTTCAAAGCTTGCATTTGTCTACCATAAGCAGGCTGCTTCTTCTATTTGTATATATAAAATAGCAGCAGAACTTTACAAAAGGCTTAAGACACAGAACTAATGATAACACTGTTTTATAGACCTGTTAATGATAAAAGTCAGTGTATATAAAACAATAATGACAACTAGACTGAACCCATGTTCCTCCATCCTCCAATTATGAAGGTTACTTTGTTCTCTGAATGTTTTAGGTTAAATTCTTGCCAACTGAGAATGTCATAAGTAGTTAGAAGAGTGTCACTAACTATT